CAAGTTTAGTGAACGGTGTAAGCATCTCATTTTATAAATATACTGTTTAATAATAATTATAATCTCATTATCTACTCTGTTACTTGGAAGGAAGTTTTGATGTAGGAGACCAAAAATGAAAGTTTGCTTGTTTACTGAGAAAGCGATAAATAGAGCTTCTAACAAAATATCAAGACTCTGTAATAGTCTTTGTACTTCCTGACATTCCCACAGCAGATGAATGATTGTTTCGCGCTCGGAGTTACACAACACACGAAGAGGGGAGATAACTAATCTAATTTTAAAAAGAAGGGAATTTGTTGCTAATGCATGGTGGATTACCCTATACTGGAACCACTGAAACTTTGTATTTTTTGTTTCATGGAATGGCATTAAATAGTACTTATCCCAAGTTTGTTTATCTATTTTATCAAATATACTATTCCATTTTTTGGTACCCGATGGTAACACGTTACATTTAATTAGAGTATTATAAAACCTTTTTGACCCTTTTTTGTCTTGAAGAAAGATACGTAAGGTGATTGGTATGCAAGGATAGATTATAGAGGGGTTAGAGATAGTATCTGATGCAATAAATTTTTTGACTGCAGAGACGAGACCCTGGTATTGTAAAAAATTTGTATTTATTTGATATTTTCGAATAAATTCTTCCCTTCCATAGAAAACACATCTGTTGGTATCTTTGCTTAAATTAGCTATAATAGTTATATTCTTCTTAAACCAACTCTCATAAAATACTGTTTTACCTCCTATCTTTATTTTATTGTTATACCAAATTGGGACAGATAATATATTACTCTGAAATAGCTTATCTTCATATTTTGTGTTAAGTGTACCCCAAGCTTTGAAAACATCACATCAAAATTTGTTTTTGCACTTTTTTATGCATAAATGAATATAATTATTACCACACAAGGTCAGTGTCAATACAGGTTTTTAGAATTATCTGCCATTTCTCAGTACTGCGATAGAGTCTCCTTATTTTTTTATATTGAGAAATATATTTCTTGCATTCAGAAATAGTTACAGTTTTATTTTTTAATTTCCACAAAAATATAAAGTATTTCATAAAAAGCATTAAACAATTGATTTCATATCTGTGTTCTATTTCTACTACACCAAGAACAAAGACTTCTGGATTTCTAGGTAAAGACAATTGGTGTTTGTTTTCTAATAATTCTATTTTCTAATAATTCTATTAACCAAAACCAAAGTGTTTTAACAACATTACATTCCCAAAATAGGTGTATAATCGTTTCTCTTTCATTTGTACAGAAGGTGCATCTATCGGTTTCTGCAAGTTTACATTTCATTAACTTTGTATTTGTATACAATATCCCATGTAATATTTTATACTGAAAAGTTAGAAGTTTTGTATCATCAGTTATCTCCCTTGATATTAAATAAATTAACTCCCAAGTGTCTTCACTAATGTCAGTATTTAAGTTTTCTTGCCATTTTCTTTGACTATTTGTAGGTTTCTCAGAAACAGATTTAATAAAAATTTGATAGAAGTACTTTGTGACTTTGTCATGTGTATTAAGGTAATCAATTAACCTATATTGAACATTTACCATAGGTACTTGAACATTTACATTCTGCAGAATTACTTTCCAGTTCCTTGGAATGGCATTAATCACACCATAGTAATCTATCAGGTTAACATTAATGTTATATTTGTTTTTAAATATATCATATGGCATAAAACGATAATTTTCTAATAAGTCTGAAACAAAAAATATATCATTTTTACACCACTGTTTATAAAAGGACCATTTGTTACCTCTTTTGATAAAATTATTGAAAAAGATAGGCTGTGATATAACTTCTTCTGGGGTTGTGGGGGATACATCTTCCTGTACTGAGGCCCAAGCTGTAAATACTTCACTCCAAAAAGTATTGAACATTTTTGATATCTCAGTTAATCCTAACCTTGTCATTTTAAAAATATTTACACCTCCAACCAATTCTAGTTTATCTATAAGTAATGTTTTCCAAACTGAGTGGTTTGAGGTATCAAAAATTTTTTTGATCCAAGACATCTTAAGTGAGTGACAAAAAGTCAAAATATGTGGAAAACGCAACCCCCCATTTTTATAATCACCGTACATAATATTTCTCTTTATTTTATCTGGTTTTCCCTCCCATAGAAAGGTAAAGAAACATTTTTGTAATTCCTTAATTATATGTAAAGGAGGGTCAGCAAGGACAGTTAATGTCTGAATAAAAATAGGTAAGGCTAATGTTTTTATAATAATAATTTTTCCTATGTAGGATAAATTTCTAAATGACCAATCTTTTAGTAATTTTTGCACTGCTCTCAATTTTTCATAGTAATTATCTTCAAAAATGTTCTCTTTTTGGAAATTGTAAGTAATTCCCAAAAGTTTAAAAAATACCTTGATGGTTCCATAACAAATTTCTTTCAGGTAGAAGTTCCAACCCACAACCCCGTCTAGCCCCAATCCATATTGCCTGGGTTTTGTCAAAATTTTCAGTATCCTTAAATCCCGTTGCGTAGCCTGGGCTCCCTTATGACCAGCATATCTTTCAGGAAATTGCGCCTTTAAAGCAGGTTTCAAGGCCATAATGAAACTGGTTGAATTATGTCTTAAGAAAGAATTTATTCCTTGGATCTCCTCATCAATGGTCTTGAGTCTTTTTTCTAAAGAGGAAATTTCCTTGGAGACCTGTAATTAAAAAAAATATGTATAAATAATATTTAAATATGACATATATACAGTGATCCATTTACTCTACATATTTTATGCAATCTTTTTATAGAAAATTTCCTGGCTGTAGTATTTTATGGAAGTTTTGTAAAATTTTACAAGTGTATATTATTTTTGGAAGAAGATAAAGAGGGAAATGATGTCAATTGATTACTTACTGGTACATGTGAAAATAAATGTTTTAGTAATTTAATGTGAAAACAAGATGTGCCAAATGAAAATTTTATTTAGTTATTTTTTTAATTTGATTTGTTTGTTTTTGTAACCAACATAATAAGACTAAACAGTGGCATAGTTCAAGTATCAAAATTTAGACAAAAACAGAAATCATAGACTGCTGTTATGCTTAAGCAGCCTCAACACATATCAGAAATCAAATGCAGGTCTGCATAAATAAAATATTTTTTAACTTTCATGTTCAATAATGACTCTTAACGCTATCTTTTGCCACTACATCGTATTTTCATTTTCCAGCACCTAATTTCTGAGAGGTCATGCACTGATTAGGCCTAACGTTAATCTTAATCTCAATCGTAAATACAATCAGTGCCATTTTTTCTTTATCTTTTCCAACAAATTACATTATATAAAGATTCTCGAACATTAACTAAGAGACGGGATGACAGAACTACCTAATCAGTACGAAATTGCCAAAAAATGATATCAGGAAAACTCAGGAGAAATGTGTTAACCTTAAAAGAATATTACCAAAATTACAGTACCTTGCTGATAACTTGCTTGTGTTCTGGATGTTTCGAGTCGTTTCCACATTCTTCAAATCCTATGCATGGGGGAAATGGACAGGATTTGTCACCCTTGTTGCCCCGGGCTCGATGACCTTTTCTGTGGCAGTTGTCACACATGTATTTTGTGATGGGATTCCCGGGGAAAGCCATTACGTCAACATTTTCGGGCTTCTTCTGAAGTTCCGTTACCTCCTCCCGTTTGCTCATCAACAAAATATGCAGAGATTCTTTTTCGTCCTTCAGGTTATCAAGTTCTGTTTCTAGACCTAATGGAGACTTGTCGCGATCGTAAGCCGTTTCCTTACCAAAATCCAATGATTTCTTTGGGTACAAGTCACGCCTTGGAACTTTTGCAATCTGTCCCTCTAACTCTAAATGTCTCTTCATCTTTTCTTTCGTAGCAGGGGTCTGTAGGTTCATAATCTTATCAATGATCAGCCGTTTGTAGACTTCTGGAATAGCCATTGCTTGAACTTCGCTGCCTCTTAGGTATTTTAATGTTGAAAAGCTTCGTACAAACACTTTTTCGAACTCTTTCTTGTACTCGATCAACCAGGATCTAGTTCCATCAGAAACCTGTCAAAATTGTCGTCCGCCATTTTTTGAGCACCTCGTTATGGTCTAAGCGACCTTCGCTACACACGTACAGGTAAACTTGTGTGCTATAAATAGATCGACTGGTCTCAGCTTGGCTACATGCGAGGTGCATTATACACAGTACAAGTGTACCGCAGAGTAGGCTGTCACAGTAGTTCTCTCGTTCACGTTCTCACTTTATCGGCAGTAACGGTAGCCGCCGCACTGACAGAGAGAGAACCAAGTAAACAGGAGTCACAGGGTGTCTCCTCTGAGCAGGTGCGGCACTGGGGACACATGGAATGGGGGTCTGATTCACTATAAAATTGACCGCAACCATTCAGGGTACCTCGGCGAAGACCGTTACAGGCCATGACGCTCAGCTACACAGAACAAAAGCAACTTCAAAAGAAATAAAGATTTGAAAGCTTACTTCGATCACTGTAAAGCAAGTACAGGATAAGCAAAAACGTGAATGAACTGAATATAAATAAACAGAAAAAAACGTAACAAAAGACAACCCAAATCGAAAAAATTAGAAAATTCATCAACGCGTGTCTGAACAAGGGCGGAGGAAAAATGAAAGCTGAAATAAACAGGCCAACTTAACAAACAAATGGGAAAAGAAACAAAAACGGTAAAACCCGCTTTGAAATGAACAAAAATTCCAAAGAGAATGGGGAATACCGCAGTGTAAATGTTGAGAATCGGCACACAGGTAGAACACGTCTGATCAGCCCAATGCCATGGATAAAGAAGGATGTGTCTGAGGTTGTGAGTAGGTATTATGGGCAGGTAGAGGGGCTCCCTTTGGGGGGGGGGGGGGGGGGGGGGTTGGGTTTATATTTTTTCGTTTATATTATATACAAATGAATGGGAATTAGTGGGAGATATGCATACTAAAGTTATGGTAATTATTACTGAAATGAAAACACATGACACTAACCTTTGTGGTTCTTGAAGCATCCAACAGAGCAACTGAGGAAAAAATGGAAAATGAGAATCATTTTAAAGCAAACAAATAATTACAATAGGAATGGAATGCATTCAAAAGGGATTTTCTTGTATTTCTATCAAATCATAAACCTTGTTCCCATTCTAAATTAATCAAATTTTCAAAAACAAAATCAAATTCACTATTAAAAAGTATTGGATCTACTGGAAATAAAGTAAATCAACACACATTCCAAAAATAATCATACACCATCATTTAATATCTTGAGGAAACAGCATTGGCATTGAGTTGACTAGTCACATATTCTGCTGATATTTTATGCCTTTTCTGGACTTTTTTGAAAAACCATTTTTGACAGACATGAAGTTAAGATCAATGTACTAATAATGGTGTATTTTGATAAAACATATATAATGTAGTTTTTGAGACTTTTGTGGAGAAAAAGTTTGATAGTTTGGATATATTTGAACTTGGTGAACAGTGTTCATCATACCCTCCAAAGTGTGTGAACTTACCTGTGGACACAACATGGGGATTTTACCTTGACACAAGTCTGGTGTGCTTTCCTGTGTGTGGTGTTGTATTTGTATCAGGCTGACCATGAGTTCTGGACAGGGACAACAGAAGCCTGTGTTGAGAGTACTTTGGGACAGAGTACAAGAAAGAAATCCGAGAATGTTTTTGAAGAAGTCAGGACAGATATTTCCCTTATAAAGGAACAGTTGGAAAGTGATGTGAAGGCCATGACAGACAAGTTGGTTAAGAGTTCAGAACTGAAAGAATTAGTAAGCTCAATAGTGAAGGAGATACAGGTGGAATGGGAGAAAGACTTCAAACAGCAAAGCAGCGAAACTTACTGCTAAACTCAAGGAGGAGATGGACAGTTTGAATGCTCACAATTACAGATTACAGGAGTCACTTTTGGAGAAACAAAAAGAAATAGAGACACTTAAAAAGCAACAGGAAGAAAGAAACATCGAGTTAAAGGAAGTAAAGAAAGATATGCAGGACATCAGAATACTGACAGAAGTGATCAAATCAAGCTACAACGAACAATACAGTCAACGCAACAACATAAAGGACTTCCATGAACTAGCGGACCCTGGAGAGGAAAAGGTGATGGACTTCCACGAACTAGCGGACCCTGGAGAGGAGAACAAAAGGTGATGGACTTCCACGAACTAGCGGACCCTGGAGAGGAGAACAAAAGGTGATGGACTTCCAAGAACTAGCAGACATTATAAACTCCAAGATGAATGGTGCTAGGATAACTCCAGATGACTTGGCAGGGATACACAGAGTTCCTGGTAAGAATCCTTCAAGACCGAGACCTCTAGTGTTGAAATTCTGGAGTAAAGGTTTGAGGAACTATCTCATGAGCGAAAAAAAGAAGGTAGCAGGTGGCATGAAACTTGCTGCGGACATTACAAAGTCCAATGCTATTCTAATCAACCACTTAATCAGTATGGATTGTGTAGAAAGTGCTTGGTATTTCAATGGACGAGTGTATGCACAAAACAAGACTGGTGTGAAAAAACAGGTGGACTTGTTTGGCAGTCTGGAAGATGTGTTCCCAAGGACAGTGTAAAACCTGTGACCAATGTTGAAGCATGTTTGTGTGTTTTTTTTTTGTTTCTATGTATATATTTGTATGTATACTCTTCTTTAAAATGGAATGGATTAATTAATTGGATTTCTGAATTTTGCCATATAGAGGTAAGAAACTATATTAACATTTCAATTTTGGTACTGACCTATACGTATGTGTTTAGAGCAGCTGGAGTGTCACATGTACAGCTAGTACCATGAAATGTTGTGTGATGTACTTTTTGACAATTGTTGCTATGTTGGATAGCCTTTGACCTTGGACTTTGTGACCTTGGTTATTTGCTTTTCCACCTTCAGTATTGTAGATTAGTTATAGCAACATAAAGGTCGTTTTTTTATGTAGACATATATACTTACACATTTAGAAAAGTTTTATCACAGATTCTTATGAAGTGGCTGATGAGCATCCATGTTTTTATATACAGTTCTGTATACTGGCCAGGTATATTGATAGGGTCAGTATATACATGGATGTATTATATATTTTGTCCGATACAGGAAAAAGTAAGTCAGTTTAGTTTCCTTTCTACAATGTCACCAAAAAGTTTTGCATATCAGATCAGCTGTAAAGTGCTGCTTTTTTTGGGTAAGTAAGCACTAGTTCATATAGTTTCATGTAAAACTATATGATAACGTCTATGCTTTGAATTGGAGTTTTTTTGCATAGAAGCATGAGGTATTCTTTTACATATCATTTTTCTTGTAAATGTTTTATCAAATGTGCATTGTTCCTTATAAAAGTAATTGCAGAAACTAATTCAGAGTAGATTGATACTTTATGCAATCATGGGTAATGTGGAAATTGTTTTACTTGTGTTTGTGTGTATGCCCACATATATAAAACCAGAAGAATTACACAATAACACTGGAGGGCCTGTTGGACTGTTTGGGGAACATTTGGGGGGACGATTGGTGACCTATTTACCAGATGGCTAGTATAAAAATTTGTCTATGAATGTAAGGGGACTTAAATCTGATAGTACAAAAAGAAGAGATGTGTTCCATACATTTAAGCAGAAGAAAGCAGATATTATACGTATTGAGGAAACTCATTGTGAGGACAAACTAGCAAATATATGCACTAGGCAGAAAAGTCGATAGAAAATGGAAACAAGAATATAGGGAAGAACTTCTTAATGGAATAAATGTTAGGCCATTAAAAAGAAAAGACATACTTTCAATGGTGTTATCAAAAACCAATTCCAAATTTTCATATTCCATGTTTACTGCTAAATATGTTCAGACACCAATTAAAAGCCAAGAGAAATGGCAATCAGTATTAAACTTACAAACCTCTCCCATGGATTGGAGTAATTTATACAAAAATATATTCAATTATACACATTTTCCAGGTCTTCTTCGAGATAATTTATTTTCATTTTCATCTACTGATATCAAAGTTATTCAGTTTTTTGTTTTTGAAGTGTCATCATTTAGGCAATAAAATGGATTTATGTCCCTTAAAAGTCTCCTTTAATCAAAACAAATAGAAACCTCAACCTTCCCCCTAAAGGCCACCATCAGTGCAAAGGTCCTTGTTTGTTATTAAAAGATATTTAGTGTGTGTTATGTGGGAAAGGTGTGTGAAAATTCTGATCAACTTGTATAAAACAAAACTATACAATGAACTGTTTGAAAGTGGTGTGAAGAAGTTGTGAAAAAAGACTGGAGATATTTGAAAAAAAAAACATGGTGAAATAGACTATGTAAATATTTATATTTTGTACGTATGAATGGTGTGTGGTGTACGAGAACTCTTCTGTGGAGAGGGCATTATTTGTAAGGGACTGATCCCAGGGCCCCAACCCTGGCAGTCTCAATTATCGCTGGAATAATAAAATATTTGTGTAAAAAAAAAAAAAAAAACTCATTTAATATCTTAAGAAATTAATGCAATTATAAGATTACAAAAGGCAACCACTCAATCCTAATACACATGTATATCAAAGATCTAAAACACTTACTACTGTATTGTACACTGTGGACATTTATACTTGGAGGTTTCTTCTCTACAAACTTGGCATTTGATCCATGTCATTGTCGATGTTTCACTTAAATCTGTAACAAATTTGGAGACGATTAGGGAATTAAGAACTCTCTGCAGACACAAAAACAGGTTATAACATAAACAAAGGCATCTGATATCAGATCAATGGAGCATAACGACAACAAAGACTTAAACCCAGAAGGCACTGAAGACCAACCAATATGTGACATATCTACAACTATATCTGGTCACTACTCATCACCTGGCGACTACAATAATTGAAAAATGAACAACACTTGTCCAACTAATCAAACTCCTCAATAAAAACCAACCATGTATCCCGTCTTACAATTAGTGGTTATCTCCCTTCCTCCTATGCTTGCAAAAAGTTACAGTAGACATTTATTCACAGTGTCAAAATTAACACTGATGCTTGGCAGACCAACAGTGTCTTAAGAAAGATCAACATCCCAGCACCTGGGGTTAGTAAACTACGTTGATCTTTTTACTTACTTTCAACAGAACCAGGACAGCTATATACATATCTATAAAAGGGTCAGTGAAGCCCGAGCCAAGTAATTGAAAAGAACATATTTACCTCAACATATTTAATCCCTGTTACCTTGGAAGTGGGTCAAGGTCATTCATATGAATAACATATTCAACCCTTGTGACCTTGAAAGCGAGTAAACATCATTCATTTGATTTTTATAGCATTTTATCCCACCTTTTGGTTATTGAGAATAAGTCATTTGAAGGGAAAAGATGATGGCAGATGGGCAACACACCATGCTCTTCATGTAGGAGAGCTGAAACTTCTAATCCTTCATGCCAAAAAAAAATTGAGAAAAAATAAAAATTGGGATCAAAGCACATCTCATTTGCTGTTCATTGAATTTCCTGTTTAAAACACAAGACATACTAAAACCTCAAACAATATCATACAGCAAAACCGTAGGCCCTAAGGACCTATATCACCCACCAGGCTGAAATTGCTTAGAAAGCTCAAAGAATATCACATTTCCTTAACCAACTGTACAAAAAATGAAAATCACAAGTGGTCCTAGAGGGAAATAAGGAAGTGCCAAATCTTCCATTTGCTATTGAGATGATGTGAGATCTCTTAGGTATGATAAAGTAATCTTTGTTTGAATTGGCAGTTGATATGTCAGACTATCAAATATTGGCTACAGAAAATTACATTCATATAGGCCTAGTTTGGATGATTAATTATCTCCCTTCGTTGTATAGTACTGTTGTTAAAGCTCATCTTGAATAACCTGTTTACCATGACAAAATAATCTATTAAGAACAATTAAGTTAGTAATATTGAAAAATAGTATATCAATGTGATGTCTCTTTCGGTTATTAAAGAAACTTCTGCATACTCGCGTGTCGTAACAATAAACACACGCACGTGTTTGGTCTGGATCCCCGCGTGTTTCTCTCCAATGAGCCTATGTAGTCAGGCACGTATGTCTACTTTGATCAGAGGAATTCCAACGAAAATTTTGAATCAGTTATCATTGCCTGGGTATACGAGGCCAAAAAGATTTTGCGAACTAAAGACGTTTTCGTAAATTTATCTAACAAGCACATCTATTTCAACGCTTGCCAATGTATGAGAGGGATTTCCCGTAAAGCGTTGTGACGACGTGGTTTTGCTGTGATACTACAGGGATTAATTTCTTGTATGTAGCAACAATACCATGCATTAACAGATCTAATAGAGAAAACATTTTGATCAATTAGTGTTACTATATCACTATATGTGTCCTGTGTGTACTACAATTTTTTTTATTTTTTAAATGTGATTTTTTTCACAAAAAAATATTGAACATTTAACGAGGATATCGTAGAGATGGTGTCTGTAAGAGAGAGCTGATATTGTTTACTGGGAAAATGAAAATAAATAGTGAGGACTCAAGCACTGGATGATTATATAAAAGTTCGTTAAAATGTTCGGGTTAAAATCTCTAGAATTTGTAAGCGTTTTGATTCATGATGTTGCAGCGTCCAAGTTTTTGTTGACAAATATTCCCGAGAAGGGATTATGGCTGCCGACTGGTACGAAAGGCGAAGGGGAGACTCTTCAAAATGTAGCGCTCCGAATCGCGAACGAGGTAAGAGTGTAATGAAGGATATATATGTCGTCATGTGCTGGGCGATCTTTAAATCCATTTCTTCGTGATTAGATCTGTTTAATTTGCAGACAATCTATGCTTTTAAATTGTATTTGCCTCTTGAACACTCCCCTCCTCCTCCTCCTCCGTCCCCACGACGTGATGGAAAGTGTATTTTATGTTGAGGGAGTCAGGGTCATGTTAACATTTATCGTGTTTACACAATATCTCCTACAGTAATCCTGTGGGGATTGTTTGGGCACTATTTCCCCTACAGTAAGACTCGGAGAATAAGACTCTTGACTCAAAGATATTGGGTGAGCTTATTACAGAGTAGTGGAATAGCGATGTATTGCTAAATACATCCTGTAGTTTAAGGCTCGGAGGACGAGACAATACCTCGACTCCAACTTGAAGTTAGATGTTGGGCTTATTACAGGACAATGGAATGATGCTTTTATTGATTTACAATAATGTACCATTTATTAGCTGAATGTTAACATTCTATGTTACATTAAGTTCATCTATATATAATATTCAGTCTGTGTAAAGGTATCAATCTGATAAACGAAAATGGTTGGTTACATTCTGTGTCAATATATACTGATGTAACAGAGGTCATTACTTATTTCCTTGACTTTGCCAGGATTTGAACCCAGGACCTCTGGTTTACTATTCTAGCACTCAACTGATCACGTTAAAGAGAAGTGTTCTCTAGCCAAGCAGTATATTGCCGCTGATATTTTACCATACTTCCCCTCCTGGGAAAAACTCTTGTCTTTGAGTTTCCAAAGGTTACAGCAACTTGATTGGGGCAATGCTAAGTATTATTCCCAAGTCCCTACATGAGTGGCAATGTAATAGAGGTCATTATTCATTCCAATGCCTCTTCCAGGATTCCAACCTGGGGCCTCTGGTTTACTAGTCCAGCATGCACTCAACAGATCAAATTAAAGAGAAGTTCTTTACAGCTGAGCTGTAAATTGCAGCTGGTATTTTACCAGGGCTACACAGACATATCTGAACCAATTTCCACGAAATTTTGCAAAAACCTTCCATTGCTAAAGGAGCACCAAAAGTATCAATTATATGGTCCCAATTCCCCAGGGACCTGAGGGGCAGGGCCAAAAATAGTCAAATTGTTTAAAATTCAAAACTTCTTCTCAAATTCAAGGTATGGTAGAATCAAATACTCTGCATGGATTGAAATTCCTTCAGGTGTTTTAGCAAAATTGTAAATTTCATGACCCCAGGGTCTCACATTTCCCTCAGGGAAGGGAGTACAATTTACTTAAGTTTATATAGGAAAATTACATTTCTGAGCATAATTTGTTTATTTTCTGTCAGAAATAGTTCAAACTTGGTTAGAATTTATCTTTTTGTTAGTATAAGCTGACTGTTTGATGAGATGCACATATTGACCTTGACTGACCCCTAGGGGCAGGGCCAAAAGTGGGTCAAATTGACTGAAATTTTTTGAAGATGTTTTACTGTTCCTGGAATGTATGGAAGAATTTTTATAGGTAAGTTCAAATCTTGAATGGGTCAACATATATGGGAATTTAACATGAGCATGGCCTCCCACTTGGAATTTCAAAATATGATAACCATAAACAGATAGGGTTATCAGAAGCTTAAATATGGAAAAGTTAGTCTCAGAATTGATTTCTTGTAAAATGGGAGCTCCTTGACTGGCGCCTTGGTGGGTGTTAAAGTAGTTGTTATGTAATTCCTTCTAATGCATTATTATGAGGCAATTCCAATAAAATTATGTCATTGATGTGTGCACATTGTACCAACCAACATTTTGATACCAAACATCACACTATTTCAGGAGAAATGTTATTTTTTATTTTGAAAAATGCAGCCAAAAATCATATATAGATCATTACATTTGAGAGTTTTGGACGCTTCAATTTTCATACTTCAGAAACCAGTTCATTTTTCATACTTGCTTAAAAGTTGGCCACAGATGATATCTTTCAAAAGGAGGATTCTTGAAAAAAATGAAAGCCGTTAAATTTGTCATTTTACACGTTTGCTTAAAAAATCAAGACACTGATTTTTTTTTCATTTTCGTTAAATAGTGACAGCTTAATAACCAAAAGCCTGTAGGTCTTGCTATTGACAAGGTGGTTGTTCAAGTCGATTTGTATCGGTTTGGTTAACATTGCTGAACTTGACCTCTGTTCAAGGTCACACAAATGAGATTTGTTAGAATAAAGACAAGTTTCACAATTTGAAAATTTAGTTAGCAGCTTTATACAAATCTTTTGATGAAGGTCAATGAAGTGAACTTATTAGATAGATTATGTACAATAATAGTGACGGGTTTTGCCTTTGTCAGTTCCGATCCATCATTTGTGGCACTTTGAGAAGCTAATGAGAGATAGAACAGTTGCAGTTTGCAGCACATTACATTGCGTTTTAGTATAGCAGAACTGCTCAGGTGATTGCTTGTTTGAGTGTTGCATGGACTGGGTTAGTTTGATCTTGATGCTGAACATGGTCCAAGAAATACAAAATGTGCACAACATGTGCACACATTCCAACAGTTCGCTTGCCGGCTAGACAGACACAGTAGTAACTTTTGACAGGGTCATCTTGATCATTTCTGTCAAATGCAATCCAAACATTGTATTTTGACTGTGATTTGTGCCTTGAATGGATTTGGCCTCGGAGAAGATTTTCATCATGCTGATAGACCCAAACTTCAAAGTCTGCAGCAGGATTCAGATGCTCAGCAATATATCTTGGTGCTACTTTCACTGTCCTGATCATGCGATGGATAGGTCTTTTCAAGATGGCGGACCAACATAACACAGGAAGGTAAGCTCTGCGTTCAAACGGTAATATCCATAATTTATATACTATGATCATGACACACATTGCATCTGATTCGCAAATAGTGCTAATATTGCTGTACGTATCTATCTAGATGATGATAGACTTAAAATGTAGTGCAATCTGCGTGTAAACCTCGTCAACATGCCGATCCTTTGGATCCAAGCGGATGTGAGCTCAACTATCAGCCTTAGCTAAAACAATTGAATAAATTCAGTCAGAATTTTATTTTCAAACTAAAGATTTGATAAGCCTCTAATCAAATGACAATCTTCTGTGACGAAATCGAAAGCGTGATTGGAGAGAAAAACATGGGAAATTTTGACCATGCAAAAGCTAGGTCTCGTTTTTTTTTCACGCTTCCGAGTATATGAGTTATGGATATTACCGTTTGAAAGCAGAGCTTACCTTCCAGTGTTACGTTGGTCCGCCATCTTGAAAAGTCCTATCCATCGCACGATCACAACAGTGACTTTCAACTGGTATGATCTGCAGGTTACTATTTCTAAATATGCGATATCCATTACTGGAAACTCTATTCAACAGGCATCAAGTTTCACCCAGTTGGCCTTGTTGCACCTAGAAAGGTCAGGTTCATCTGCAACCATTTAGGCCAAGGTGTTGGGCTGAGCTAAACAGGATTGCATTCGCTCAGCAAGGCGACGGTCCTTCAAGTCCCTCTCTGGTGTGGACATATAAATTGGTCCACGTACATCATTCAAGGAAGCAGTATCTACTTTAACAAGTTCCTCTATGACACTAAGGAAGTATTTTGGACTGAGTTATTCTCTGAACAGTTTTCACTGTTTCAGGCGACCATGGCAGCTCTCCAGAACCCATCTTGACTTAGTACACTGTTTGTTCTCATTGGCAGTAAGTGTGTCATGCTGTGTCTGACCTGACAGAAGATAGGAAGGCACGTACACAGAAAACTATGAACCTCGCAGCAGCTCCAACACATCAATAAACCCCCGGTCAACAATCACATTGTCATCTTCACTGAGCCACAAGGTCAGGTTCTCAACTGTTGCAAGAATTTTTGTCAAGATATTTGCATCATTTTCATTGCTATAAAAAGGCCCAATAGTGTCTAGTACATAATTTAACATAGCTGTGCTTCTTTTGCCCACAGTATGAGGATCTTTGAAGGGGATGATCGGCACTTTTTTGGACACAAATATAGGTACCATCAAGGATTACAGTAACTTTTCCCCATAGAAACATCTTGTAAAGGCAGCGTTGTGGCACTTAGCGTCCTCGCGGGTAATGTGTCTTGGACAAAAGAAACGGGGCACAATGGTCTGGCTCAGTGCTTTTAAGACACTATGAAATGTGTGAGACACATACTGTTTTTTTATTTGTCAGACCACACAAGACACCAAGTTGAGACCATGAAATAGTGGTTTTCAGTTTAACCCAGAAAAGAAGCAAAGCGTGGAATGTAGAGGAACATGATCCTCTATTGATGTGTGAGGAGCAAATGCTATGGATTTGCTTCATTTGTTCAAGTATGTAACCAGTCTATACTTTGAAGTCTTCATTTCCGAGATGGTCTACATCTATGCCTGTGTTGGTTGGCGTACCAGCAGAAAGGAAATGGCTTAGTTCAAGAAGGTCATTGATAACCTGATGAAGAGATAATGGTTACCTTGTTTGCAGATCTTGTGGCCAAGAAGGATTTCATTTCAGTAATAATTACCATAACTTTAGTATGTATATCTCCCACTAATTCCCATTCATTTGTATATAATATAAACGAAAAAAGAGAAACCCAAACCCCCCCCCCCCCCCCGTAGGGAGCCCCTCTACCTGCCCATAATTCCTACCGTAAATATTCGCGTATAGTGTGCACTTTTTTAAGCTGAAACTGTCGTGTCAAAAAGGGGGTGCGCACAATCCGCAGGTACATGCCATTCCTGGGGTTATCATTCCCGAGTTCTGCATCCGCCATATTGGATTACCTCCCTTCACATAGTTATATGTAAAAGTCGTCGGTCTTATATGATAGTTTGGAGATAAAAACAACAAAAAAGTAAAATAAAAAAATGTTTTAATCATCTGCCATTCACGCTAGTATTACGGTGAATCTAATTTTTTTTCGTTTCCCGTCGGTCTTACTATTGGTCGGGGCTATAGTAGTGTCTGAATTTCTGCCT